GAGACACTTTATAAAGTGAAAAAATTAGAAAGTTGATGTTTTCTGTTTTTCCCTAGAACACAGGGGCCTAGAATGTAATAAGCAACAAATAAATAGCAATCACAGCACTATTCTCCAGGTGCTCTAAAGAGAACATAAAAGTCTCTGCTCCCTAAGGGACACATGGGAGAAGTGTGCAAATTGCTTGCAGTATCGTAGGATATAAACCCCAGAACAGACAGTCAGAATGTCTCCTGAAAACTGGGAAGAATGGGATTTCTCTGCCTGGAAGGTCAGAGACAAGAGTCTCAGCATGGGCATCTTCTCAGAGGAGCAATTTCCGTGGAGTTGGGGGAGAAGAAGCTAGACTGTGGTGTTAAAATCTTACATATTGTCCATTTAGCTCAATTGTCTTTAACATAAATCAGGCCTTAATGTTCAGCACCATGATTTATTGCCTGAGAAGAAACAGGTTAACCACATCTCTGAAAGACTAGAACCAATCATTATGCAAATATATGAAGAAACTTTTAAGAGACCAAATTGTATTATCTTCTCTAAAAATCTTAATTCTACCAAATTCTATCAAAAACTTAAAAGAATTAGAACTTTAATGATTTCTTTTTTATCCTAGTCAATATTGAACATGTGCTGTGATTATTACAGTTCTTTTTCATAGAAATTTGGTTAAGCACATTTTAATATCTACCTTACAATATCCGTCTTGATGGAGTACAGCCAGCCGGTATCCTTTCTGTTAATGCTAGGGCTTCTCAGGCCACACCTGTGCTGACTCAGGCTCAGCTGATCACTGGCCAAGTGCTGTGAGGTAGCGTTTGAAAAAGGTAACAGTAAATCTACCGAGGGCAGATTTGATTTGTAGGATACAATGTTAATTTTTCTTTAAAAAAAAAAAAAAAGGTAACATGAGCAAAACAAAATGTTATGGGTTTTAAATTTTTTTCCTCTGGGCCATGGTGGCACACATCTTTAGTCCCAGCACTCAGAAGGAAGGATGGCAGCTCTCTGTGAGTTCAAGGCCATCCTGGTCTAAAGAGGAAGTTTCAGGACGGACAGGGCTCCACAAAGAAACCCTGTCTCGAAAAACCAAAATAAGGGCTGGAGAGATGGCTCACTACCATCTCTTTCTGCTCTTCCAGAGGTCCTGAGTTCAATTCCCATCCACTACATAGTGGCTCACAACCATCTACACAGGGATCTGATGCCCTCTTTTGGCATGCAGGTGTGCATGCAGACAGAGCACACATATATGTAAAATAAATAAATCTTTTTAAAAAACACAAAAAGAAAAATCAAAATAATAGTAATAATAATAAATAAAAGTAATTTTTCTTTTGTAAGCTAAAACTCATTTTCCTAGAAATACATCAAATACACTGCTAAATAGATAGGACAACGGCCAATTATGTATTGTGGTATTACAGTCTGACTACATCTCTTAAACACCATTGTGAGTCCTGTGTTACATTTTGAGGGGCAGAAAAGTCCACCTTACTCAGCAGGATCCACTCATTCATCTACGGTTTCCTTCAAGGTTCCATCCTGAGCCATTCTTTGACTTAGCAAGCCGCCGCGACCCCTGCTCCCCACCTCACGTCACCTTTATGCATACAGCCTTGTACATGTGCCTGTACCTGTGGGTCTTGCGCAGCACAGAACCTGGGAAGTCACTGTGTATCGTTTACTAATCTAACAGTTGAAAACCTGGGACTAATGTGCAGTACAAGCATCTATGCACTTTTTTCCCTCTTAACTAATGACCATAGGCAGCTTGTTAAACATCTTACTGTAATTTTGTACTGTTAATGTCTAACATAAGATATCCTGTATCAGATATGTACCCTAAGTGACTCAGCTATGTGATTTAAGTATTTTATGATGTGTTGGTAGGAACGTATGGGTGGAGGGTTCAGGGGGGTGTCTTTCCATTTATCCTATAGTAAAATCTATTACTTAAACTGCTTCTAAGCAAAAGGAACACCACACCGGAAATGCAAAGAAACAACATAGTCAGTGTAGCTGTCCTTGGTCCAGGGACATTTTCAAGAATCATTAGGACTCAGCAGTTTCTGCTCCCAGAACATCACCAATGTAAGATGAAATTACACCGCATAAGGAATTCCCAGTGCTGATAACGTTGTATCCAGTGGCTGAGGTACCTAAGGTAAGCAAGGCACTGCAGAGTGGGAATCCATTCTGAACCCTAAAAATAATGACTGTAAACATTGTAAATTATGTCTGTAATTTGGATGTCGTCATTTAAACATCATCTTCTTTCAACAACAGAAGACTCTGCAAATTATTATCATATTTGTCTTGGCTCAAGCATCAAATGAAGAATCTGTCAAGGAAAATTTAGGGTTTGTTTTTTTTTTATGATGCTTATTTAGAACAGTTTTTATAACTATTATCAGTAAACACATCTCATTTAAACCTCAGCCAATAAACAAAAAAGGTAATGATTCTACATCTAGAGAAAGTGTTTTAACCTGTTTTTAAATATACCTTCAGAGTTGTGGTTCATTATATGGTAATAATGTGCTATGATTATGCTTATAAAGTGGAATAAGTGGCAAGATTTCATAGGGAAAACAAGATAATTAGCATCATGTTTTCTTTGTGTTTCAGAGCATAAAGCTCCCCTCCCCCTCTCTTTTTTCTTAAAAGAAACTGGTGCTTTGTCGCACCTTTGAACATGCTTTAGTGCCCTGTTGTACCTGCTAAGAGGTCTGAATAGGTGTAGGGAGGAGCTTTGCCACCTTTGCCCTTATGCTGCTGCCTGTTGCAGCAGAGCAGACTATGTATTCTTCTGTAAGGTACTTGCAAGTGACTGAGTTCGTGTTCCTTAAGTTGGAAAGATCAGCTCAAAATAACAGTATCCGCCTGGCAGTGGGAGGTAGAACAAAAAGCAGCAGCAGCTTCAGCCCCTGATGGCCCCTCTGTAGTCAGTCACTATACGATTTTATGCCGTAAGAAGCCTTGATGCCACAGACACCTCCAAGTGTCTTCTTTGGGGCATCATAGCAGATGACACAAATAATAACTATATTGTGATCACTATATTGTGATCTCCTAAATCTTACCTTCAAGGCTCTATTAAAGTGCCATGCCATTCCTCTCTCAGCCGTGGCATTCCCTTTGCTCTGCACCCCCAGCAGCCAGTCCTGCCTGATGTTAGCACTAACAGCCCTTGCTCAGAACCTCTCAGGTAGCGTTCCTCCGTACTGGGCAGCATGTGTGGTCATGTTTAGGTCAGTCTCGGCTGCAGAACCAGCCTTGAATCCCTCTCCACAGCAGGTGCTTGATAAGGAGATACTGAATTTGGTGGCCATCTCCTCCTGAAGCCCGCACATGATCACTGTAAGACACGGGTGTGTGCCTAGCCTCAGCATGAAACCTGCAGATGACTTCCTCTGTAGAGGGAAAGGAAATGACCTAGTCATTGTGCGTGAATTCCTATGTAGTGTTTTGTTTATTCTGGTACGTATCTGCTGGATGCCAGCTGGATCCTTGGCACACTCGATATAAAAGCCACGCATTCCACCTAACTAAATGTGGTGCAAAAAGTGCTGTAAACATGTTTCATAGAAGGTACTCTGCAGACATTAAGGAGGGAGTGGCTAGTTCTGCTGGCTATTTATTCAGATCAGTGTTTCTGAAGCTGGGGTGCAAGTATTCCAGGGGACTTGGGTGTCTGGAAAGCCAGATGTCTGAGTTTTAGGCACCCAGACTTACAGAAAATAAATAAGTTACAGTTCTTTCCCTGTCCTCCTCTACAACCCCATAGCCGAAGGACGCACTTGGAGGAAGGTTTTTAATGGATTCTACATAATACAGCAATTCCTATCAAAGATCTGAGTGCAGCTCATTTAGAATTAAAGTTTATAGGATATGCAGAATATAAAACCTCATGTCAGATATGATGGTAAAATTCTCTCCATGCTAACAGTTCCACAACAGAACGTGACAAGTGCTTCCGCAGTGTGTGCTGTGTGCCTGTCCTGAGGCAGGGGTTACGTAGTCAGCCTCTGGCTCTTGTCAGGCTCCTCTAGACCTCTGACCAGCATGCAGCAAGATGCAAGAGGCAGGGGAAACCTGACAGCACTGTGTTTACAGTGATATTTACCAGGCATTTGGAAACCAAGCATCAAATGGCAAAGTGGAGCAGAGGAACGGATGACTTTCTGGATAATCCAGTCCAAAATTCCTCTCTCAAGAGGCAAGGCCCAGACGCTGTCCTTAGTTGCCTGAATGATCTAGGATATGTTCTGAACAAATGCCTTAAACTCTGTAGCGTGCTGGGCACTTGAACACAGTAGGACAGTTAACTTCTGTTTACCAGAAGAGAATCGAACCCCAAATATTCACATCTAAGGGGGCTGCTCTTCAGTGTTGCAATATGGCATCTGGGGACGAACTGTTATCGATAATATATACAGCTTATGTCAGAAGGGCATTCTTTTCATTCTGATTAAATCTACCACCTGCCATTTTTATTTATTTTGTATTATTGTTTTATGTTGATTTTAATTGGAGCAGGGGACCTATTGGGGTTGCCCTGTATTGGTCACCTTAGGTGAAAGAAATTATTTGGTGTTTGAATTATTTTGAAGTCATTTTTGGTATAATCTTTTTAGGCCTTAGTTTCATCATTTACAAAAAGAGGGTGTTGCAGATAGGTGATTCATGTCTCCTTATATATAGAATTATATTATTGTGTAGTTATCCAGCCTCCTCTGAAATGTTTATATGATTAGACATGTGGTTTCAGTGTGCTTAGATAAGACTTACTATTGAAATTATAGCATCCCATTTTATGAATTATAGGTGGTCATTGATTTTATAAATTGCAAATTCTGGCACACAGAACTGAGGCTATAATTTACCTGATACTGACATTTTGGTAGCCACTGAATTTCTTTTTTTTTTTTTCTCACGTATGCCCAAAGTAAAATCCTTCACATCTTGCTTTTAATGAAATGTTTCTGTTCTTTTGGTAGCCAGAAGTGCAACTTGCTGAAGGCTTCGATGTGTTCATGCCAAAGTCTCAGCTGGACTCTATATTGTCAAACTACACTCGCTCAGGAAGCCTTCTGTTTAGAAAACTGGTGTGTGCATTTTTTGATGACAAGACTTTGGCTAACTCCTTGCCCAATGGGAAGAGGAAAAGAGGACTCAATGACAACCGGAAAGGACTAGACCAAAACATTGTGGGTGCAATAAAAGGTTGGTCTATATCATTTCATTTTATGGTTCTTTGTTGAGTTCTGCCTTCATTCCTTTAAGGTACACATGAAGTAATGCCAAGCTTCCTAGGGGCTAATTCAGTTTGCTGTGAGCAGCTCACCTGTGGGTGTGACTCTAGTGTGTAAACTCTGCAAGCATCCCCACTCCAGGTACCACTGGAGCACCTCTCCAAGGTGACAGTAATTGCCGAACCCATAACTTCAGACCCAATTTTACCTGCTGCAGAACCAAAAAGACTTGGTAAATGAAAGTATTTTTCCCAGTAATTTACAAGAACGTCATCAGAGTACAATTTTGGCAAATTTTAAACTTAAAATTTTAAGTATAATTAAGAACGAAATGTGGGATAGGTCTATAAATGAAGTGATACGTTTCTTGAAAAGTACACAAACTGTGCGGTCAAGACATTGCATCTGAAGATATTTTAAATATAAGTAAAGCCACTTGCTGTCCCTCCCCTTACGTTCCTAGCCAGCATGGTCCCTTTTGTTTTGTGATGTGCAGTACCACTTGTGACTTGGAGGGCCGTCTTTGGTTCTTCCCCCTTCCCTCCTTTGAGCTTTGTCTGTGCTCCACCATGTCTGGCAGGTACGTGGATGCAGATGTCTTCATTCCTACCACTTCCACATCTTACATCAAGTTCTTCCCTGTTCAGTATCTGTATTCAGGACTATGATGACTATATCTTTAGGAGGAGAAGTATTTAAATGTGATTATCGAAAAGAATACACTCCAAGTCTCATTAAACATAACTACCATGAAAATGAAAGCTTGAATTGGAGCTTCACTTAACCTCAAATCTGAATGTTCTCCACTGGCTCAGTTCTACCTTGTCATGACCACCAGTGAGACTGACTCAGAGCTGTCCCTGCCTTCTCTTGTTGGCCATTATCTTGCAGAACAAGTAAATGAATTCAATAATGCTTAAAGGATACTTGGAAATTCACAATTAACTTTACAAAATAATTCGATTTTTAAATGGAGTTAGCAAGTACCAGACACCCTTTGTTCATGGCCAGAGGGACATAGCCTTCATTAACAGGAAATTTCTCATAGTCCATCAGAATTTTTTTTCACTTAAAGTGACAGTTGAGTTTTATTAAATGAGAAGCACCACAGAGACATTGCAATCTTTGCCATTTATGAAAAGGATGATTCAGCCTTCAGTGACGCTGAGAACAAGATTAGAGAATTTGAAAACCAGTCAGTGATGTAAGAAAGACTCACCAAAGCAAAGAAGCAGACTGGGCCTTCTCAGACGTGGGGGCTGGGGCTGATGAATTTCCGAAAGACATACAAGAATTGGTTTGATTTTCTTTCCTTCTTTCTTTTTTCTACCTTCCTTCCTTCCTTCCTTCCTTCCTTCCTTCCTTCCTTCCTTCCTCTTCCTCTTCCTCCTTCCTTCCTTCCCTTCTTTATTTATTTATCTATTTATTTATTTTCCAGAATAGTATATTAACATTAAAAGGCACTTTGAAATTGGGGGACTATAAATGACCACATTTCATCTGAGTGGAATTAGAAGAGCTAGATTCTATAATAGATCATAATGAAATAGATCATTACAAGTAGACTGATACGTCAGACAAGGGTTTAAAAATCTGTTACAAACAGTGATAAACCAGACATCAGACAAGAGTTTAAAAATATACTACAAATGCTGATATGCCTTATTTTTTTTCAATCTCTACTTTTTAGCCATCCATAAATATGGCAACAAGGCCCCTGTTCCTAGTACAAAATAAAGGAAATTATTCTAATCAAACAACTCAAATTTTCTAGCCTGCCCACAACTTCATTTAAAACCATATTCCAGTTTTACTCTCTTGCTATGGCAAAACACATATTTAATTTTAGACATATTTTGGTTTTTTTCTATAATTAAAAAAATAATTCATCCTGATAAAAATCTAATTCATAAAAAAGTTCAGAAAATGGAAAGGATTTTATATATATTTTTTACAGGATTTCCTGTAAGCTCCTTGAAAACAAGCTGTGACTTAAACGCTCTGTGCCACTTGTAGGAATTCAGGGCATGCCACTCACAGGCATGGTGGCCTACCGGTGACTTCAACTAAGGGCGCTTGGGAAGCAGCACCTGCTGGCAGAGGCTTTGCCGGAGCTTCCCCCTTGTGCCTTAAGACAGGGCCGCTCAAGAGTCCATTGTCATCGTGTCCATGTCACTCCCTCATAATTTATGTCAGATCCTAGAAGAGGACTAGAGAGCAGCATCATACCCACACTCCTATAAGCTCGTACTTACTCTTTCAACCCAGTGAGCTCACTCCCAAGTCATTTCCTGTCCCCTGAGAAGACTAGGTAGAAGCTTCTAGACCTCACTGGATAGGAAGTTCACTCTTCTTTCTGTGTATACTTGACCTCTTCACTTGCCTGTTGTCGGTTTACTTCATAGATTCAATCAGTGGACTTCCCTGGGATAAAGGGAAACAGTCTCTTCCTCTACACACTTTGCTTCTGTAAATACCTGTTGGGTGAGTGAGTAGTCATAGGTTGTTTTTCATCTTGACTTAGGCCTTACTGCATTGACATAATAGGTTTAGTGCTAACTATTCTCATGCTTTCTCATAACCAGTTTGGAATGATAAACTTCAAAATACACTTGTAAATGTCTAATAAATTTATTCAATAAATTGCCAGTGAAAGAAAAAAAAAAAGAATTGACAGTAAATTTTAATATAATTCTCTTAAGACCACCCCTGCCAAAACATCTTTCTTTCCATGTTTTTCTCTAAATGGTTTTAGCATACATATTATAAATGATTTTTGGACGTAGATATAATTGAAGGTCCTATAAAATAACTATTTCTAGCTCTTCTTACTATCATTAGAGATAAGAGGGAAACATATTCTCCAAACCCAAGTCTTTTAAATCTGAAACAGACTTATCTAGAAAAGTAGTAAAATGGCTTCTTCCAGCACAACAATCCCAAGGCTATTTGGATTGGTGCTGTCATTGTCTGCCACATATTGAGAAAGATTCTGTGTACATTTAGTGTGTATTCTTCCTTACTTGAGATATCTCTTGTGAGAGTGAACCAGCTGTATATTATTTTGAAAAGACCTAGCAACAGAAAAGTGGTTAATTTTATAAACTCTCAAGTGTGAAAGTAGCAGTGAATGAGCAAAAGCGATTAGATTAATTAAGACAGCAGTTGTGAAATGATGACAGTCTGTAAAATGCCTGCAAGTAGGAACAGAAATGCCATGAGGATTACCTGTGTGTGTCTTGAGCCATTCTTGTATCTCTAGGATGAAGCCAGTTTAATTGTGGTAGATGATCATTTTTATGTGCTCTTAGATTCAGTTGGTGTTTTTAAAGTTAGATATATTTGTGTTTTTGTGTGCTTTGCCTGCATGGGAGTATATGCACCACGTGTGTGCAGTGCCTGTGAAAATTAGGAGAGGGCACCGGGTGGCCTGGAACTGGAGTTTCAGACTGCTCACTTAGAGCAGGGGGCGCTCTTGACCGCTGCGCTCTCCCCAGCTCGTCTGCAGGTACCTGACTTCTTCCTCTGTATGCATCAGTGAGATTGCTTTGTACTTTTCTTTTTATTGTGTCTCTATCTGTTTTCACTCTCGGTATTATTCAGCCTTCATAAAAGAAGTCCAGACTCTGAGAGAGATTATACAAGGTGGTATTTATTGTCTTAAAGAAACTAGCCTTAACTGACATTAATTTTTTGAAAATACACCACGGGAAAAGGTTCTTAGGGGATGATTAACAAAGCTTTTTGTGTGATAATTCTTCCCATTATAATATCTCAAAAGCAAAACATAAGCTTTTGTATAGAGATGATTCTTTTCACATAATTTTGTGTGTTAATAGTGACTTACACTTAATGATAATCTATTAAGAAATGAATGGATAAGTATGAACTAAGGTGTTGCTAATGAAAGGACCCTTAATTAGGAAAAACTCACCTGAGGCCTGGGAATGTAGCCCAGTGGTTGAGCACTTGCCGAGCATATGTGAAGCCCTGGCTTTGATCCCCAGAATGGTGAAAACAACAAATGAAGAAATGAAAACCCTCACCTTAATATTTTTGAGCAGCAGGAAACAACTTGTCTATTAACTAGAGATCTTGGGGCAGTGCTGGGCAAGGCTGAGATGGGATTCGTAACTGATGTTTTCAGCCAGAACCTAGAGTGCAGGTTTGTACTCCATTGGCTTGCCTCACAGCATTGCTGTCCCTGCTCAGGCTGCCATTGGCTCACTATTATCTTTCTGTGATCTGTTCAGGGGACCATGCGGTTTGACTTAAGAGTTAGCAGCAAGTGATGGTGACTATCCGGATGCCCTTTAAAAACAGTTACAGCAAGGCAATTTTTAGAAACCTAGTTATGTGTTTTATAGTTGGCTTTATAGTAATTAGGTAAGAAAGTGTTTGCTCTGTAACTGGGCTGGAGTTTTGAATCTCCTTGCATTCAACTGAAATCGCTTATGTGTGTCATATGGAGGAGATGGTTGGCGGCTATCACTCTACCCACATCAACACAGCTGGCCACTCTGCTGAGAGATCAGCATTGGTCTGTCTAGAGAGCCTCAGGGACTCAGAACTGTGAGAGGAACAGCTTATAGACAGAGGTATTCCAAACAGTTCAAAGTTGAATGTCCAAAATCTTTAAAGGTGCACTGTCACAGGCTGCATAGACGTGACCATCAAAAGCTCCCACTTTATTTCATGATATTTGAGGTCTCTATCTGTTATTTGGTAGGACCTCTATTTCTTACAATTACTGCAAATAATTCACTGCATGGTGAGTTTATTTAGAAAAAGAAGAAGAGGAAGAAGAAGGTTGAATGTAATTCTCTTAACTCTGTCATCTTTCTCTAGCTAAATTATTGTTTTAAAAGTTTATTATTGGGGCTGGAGAGATGGCTCAGAGGTTAAGAATACTTGCTGTTCTTATAAAGGTCCTGAGTTCAATTCCCAGCAACCACAGGATGGCTCATAACC